CCCTTCCCCCCCCCCCCCCCCCCCCCCCCCCCCCCCGCCCCCCTCTCCTCTTCCCCCTCCTCCTTAACCACGTGTTGGGTAACGCTACCCAGCGTTTTTGGCAAAGTGCCAAGTGTCGTCGGCGAGCGATGCCGCTAAATAGCGTTAGCAGAGAAGCTAGGGTAATGACCGGGCCGAGCCGAATTTTGCTATTAAATGCTGCGTGTGTGGAGCACCGGTAGTTTGATTGGTTGTGGAGGTGCGGTGCGGTGCGTTACGCGTGGTCGCTGTGCTGGTTGAGGGATGAACCCTCGCAGAAGTTCTGCGGAAGGCCCGCGATCTTCCAGTTCTGGTTCGCAAGCTGGCACCTTTCCATCGATTTATCGATTGGCTGCTTGCATGTGTGTGTGTGTGCTGGGCGTCGCGCAGCGCCCCGTTGTGTGTGGTGCATACAGATCTAGGCAGTTGCGGTCAGTGGTGGTTGGTGGTGTTGCTGGTGATTTGGGCATCGCGGGATGGAATGGCCGAGGCCTGGGAGGTGTGGGGTGAAGTGCAAGAGTGCTCGTTTGTTCGTGTTCGCATCAGCTCGAGAGTTCCGCGGTGTCTCTTTGTTTTTTATTGATCTTGGTTGCAGTCTTTGTTCTTTGCTGTAATCATTGTTCTTCACGGGGCAAACCTCCTTTCCCACATGTTTTTAAGTTTTTATTCGATACAGATTCCCATACCCTGCAAAACAAGCAATGTAGCAGCCACAGGTTGATACAGGACCGACTCCTGATGGCACTAATGGATCCGAAGGGAGGGGAGGAGAGGAGGGAGAAGGGAGGCAAAAGGCTTTTCGCTCCCTCCGGAAGCTCAGGCAGTCGTTTTACTGTACAAAAGTCTGTCCGATACCCCTTGTCTTCTTCCCCTCCCTCCGCTCCCCCGTTGCGCCCGCCTCCCCCGTAGAGCCTTGCAAGTGTCAGTTTAGTATCCATCGATGAGATTGAGCGGGGGAGAGGGGGGGGGGGATAGCACGACGATTGAGGAGTGGACTACGAGCTGACCGACGAGGACGGAGGGGTGTAGTGATGAAGGAGGAAGGAGAGGTGAAAAATCGTCGAGGAAACCGTGCTGGATCCGCTTATGTCTGGTGGAAGGCGACGCCGATGGGGGAGGGAAAGTGGGGCTTCAGGGCGGGCAGGAAAGTTCCTCCCACCATGGAGCTATGCAAAAACTAGGAATAGAGTTGTAACACTGCTACCTTAGAACTATTTTAGGCTTAAGTTTACTTTAGTTTTAACTTCAGGACCAGACTTTTGCAGCACTGGTGCCTGTGCCGCTGGTAGGCCGAGGAGAGGAGAGGGAGGGGGAGGGGGAAGCGGAAGATTCATCGTATGCTGCGAATGCTAGACTCAAGATGATGAGGGTTGGGTGTCCGCCTTCTGGGCTCAACGATGGATGCTTTAGGTTACACACAGCAGATCTGGAAACCCTTCAGCGAAGGCTCCATGGCCAGTGTGATAAGTTCAGGTGACTGTATTAGCCAAAGAGACCTGGATTTCACGCAGGCACCAGATCAGAAATGTGATGGAGAAATTGAGGCAAAACTTATAGACTGAGGAACCTGAAAATGGCTCTCATCAGTTTGATGTAGAGGTAACTAGCTCTGCTGGTAGCTAGAAGATCGATTATTCGCTCCCACCATTGGGGCATCCTATCCTTCTACGATTCGTTTCGATGGTAAATTGGTACTGGTATATGCCTGGCATTGAGAATTACGATCGCCTTGCTTTTAAGCAATCGCAGAGAAGCTGGCCATCGATAACTTTGATTCCTTCTGACTGCATTCCTCCGACCTTCAAAATTGATTGATAAAATATTGAAGAAGACACGGACGAAACACTGCCGCGCAACGATTTTCGCTCATGTAACGGGCAATAGTCTTATTGGGGCCCACTTGTGATTAGTGCTGCTCTTCAGGATATCACTTTGTAAAACGCGTTTCGCAAGAATGACGTCGGCACAAGGCAAAGTGCTGACCCTCAGCGAGCTTCGCGTGTTCGAGCTGAAGCAGGAGTTGGAGAAACGTGGGCTCGACAAGAGTGGCATCAAGCTGGCGCTGGTGGAACGCCTCGAAGGGGTTCGTTTTTTCATTTCTGGTTATGCAGATTCAGCAGATGAGTTCATGCGTAGGAAATTTTGATCGTGTCGAAAGGAGCAAAGGATGCTTAGCGTACGTCTTCATCACTGTACTCTTCATTAGATCAGGGACACGCGAGATATCACTGCGATCATACGAGAAAGTAGACGATTACTCGGGCGTTTTGCAAATGCATCGAGCGCTTGATGTAGATATTAAACTGAACCGTGCGTAAGAGAATCGGAAGCCTGGCTTAGCTGTTCGCGACGTCTCGGAATATATAGCTAACATCTTTAATATTCTGATTGTCCGGGCGATTTTGCCAAATATATATGCACTTACGCATATATACACATGTATATATCAATACAAAAGGCAGTACGGGCCTAAAAGGCCCTATGAAGAAAAGAGGGGTCCGGAACAGCGGCCCAATAGCGAAGGATTATATGACGGAAGAACCGCACAAATCGTGCATGCAATAGGATAGTGCAGGGGTGGGGCGGTAATCGCCCAGGGTCTGTGGTGGTATTGAAAGAAAGAAAATAAAGGGGTCAGATTGTTGTGATAAAGGGGTCAGATTGCTGTGGTGATATTGAAAGAAAGAAAATAAAGGGGTCAGATATTTTTTTTAAAAAAAATCAGGGTGGAATTTAAAAGAAGTCATGTGAAGAGCAGTATGTAAATAAGCCTGCCTGTGTTTCATATTTGGTGAGTGCTGGAACACCATGTTCCAGAATTGTCCAAAAACGATTGACAGGGATCGTAGGGCGAGGCGTAGGTCTCGTTTGGGGATGCTGTTATTCAGTGCCTGTTTTCGTCATTTGTTGCTCTGCTAGTGCTCTGATGCTGTTTTGCTCCTGGGAATTTGTGAATTTTGCAGGCTATTCGTGCGGAGGGTCATGATCCCAAGACATATAAGTTTGTGATCAGTGACTACGCTAAATCACCGACTACGGCTACATCGAAGGACCCTTCCGGTGAGATGACCACGGAAGGTTTGTTAATAATTAAAATTAAATTTCTTGCGCGAAGAAATATATATCTATTGAGAGAATGAATAAAATACAGCAAATTAATCAGTTACTGTCATAGATGGCAGAATAGGCATGGAGTGAGAATGGTAAATGTGCATTCTTGAACTCTTACCTAGAATTTTGCCCAGACAAAAACTCCAGTACCACGATTTTTGTAAGTCGAACCCAGATACCCAAAAATGAGTGCCTGTCACGCGGCCTAGCCGAGCCGAGTTTTACTAATTTCCAGTTTATGTTCGGTGGATAATAACTTTCAGTGTTCTGCCTTTTCCATTCACTGCAAATCGGCGTACTCCCTGGCATCCCGGATTCCATTTTAACTTAATTCCTTCAAATTCTTGCTCCCACAAAATGATTATTGGGAGCGGTGAACTTGAAGTATTCCGTGCCAAGCTCGAGTCCACATTAATCGTCAAATATGTGAGGTTTTTACGCAGAACTTGGGCAGGGGAAAGATTAAAAAGTGGTACATTAACAGATGCAATACAAGAAGAGCAATCACAAATGATGATATGGAGATGAACATAGGTAATGATGTCCGAGGTGAACAAGCGCGTTTTTAGTAGTACTTGTGGCTCGGGCTGACGAGCATGATATGTTGAGGAGTAGCACTGCTGTCACGCAGAAGGCCGTAGGTCTTACTCCTCGAACTACTCATCCATTTTTTTTTTCGGTGGCAAATTGGTATTGGCGTATGCCAAGGTTTCCAAGGAATCTGCCAACCCCGCCATCGATTTATTTCTAAGGAATTTGCGAAAGGGGAGACATCGACGGCTTTATAAGCCGATGGCTGCTTTTGGCACTTGCTACCACTTCGGTTACTTCCTGAGTACTTCTACATCTTATAAGGAGCAAAGGGGGGGGGGGCGGAGAGGTTACTCCAACTGTTGTCGGGAACATGGTTCGCAAAAAATGTGGGGATGTAGGACGAAGTTTTCGATATCTTGACTGTGTTTGGCATATTCTTTGCGATATCTACATATTGCTACCTTTCAATAAGGGCAACTACTAAAACTCGGCTCGGCTCGGCCGGTGCGTTTTGCGCCCCAGTGAGGCGTCTGCC